CAACAGTGGCAAGTCGTATTTCTTCTTACTAAATCAATCACAGTGTTGATCACGTCAAACTGAAACTTTTCATTTTGTCTCTGCCGTAAGGAGTGGGGTTTTGTTGTGGTGGTTGATATTTTGTGGGCCAGATTGGCCTCCAGAACCCGCCGAATTCCAGCCATCAAGAGTGATGGGAACATTCACTAAATAATGGACTTACAAAGGCTTGCAGCGTTTGGGAGCTAAATCCACTTTACAGCCATCATCACGAGTTCCTACAGATCAGGTCTTTCTCTAAGAAAGTAAGCTAGCAAGCCAAGTTAACTTAACTGGGTTCTCAAAAGCCGTTGTCGGAGGAGATGAGTGTACCAGCAAGGAGCTTTTGATCTGGCACGTGCTTAGTCAAAACCTAACATTTGCTTTTTATAATTGATAGCTAACAATAGATAAACACTGACACGTTATTTTTGTCGTCTAGGGCAGCTGGGGAGTTGAATGCAAGCAAAAATGTGAGTGTCCAACTGGCAAGTGTAACTCTGTCACGGGTACTTGTCAATGTCCACCCGGTCGCTATGGCAAGAAGTGTGAAAAAATAGGCTGTCCACCAGGGTATTGGGGAGCCGATTGCGATAAGAGGTGCCCCAAACAATGCTCCACTGGATATTGCCACTCCAAGACAGGCGCATGCACTTGTGCACCGGGGAAATACGGAGCCTCGTGTCACATCACCTGTCCAGAGGGTACATTTGGAGAGATGTGCGCAGAGGCGTGTCCTGCCATGTGCTCCGATCAGAATAGCAATTACAAAGGATGTGATCCAGAAGTGAGTATGACAAATTGTGATGGTGACTAAGTAAAATATACCACTCTGTCGACAATCGAATGTGTCACACTTGAAGTCCGTTCGAGCTTCCCGCTGCTGCAGTCGTGTCAAATTGGATCCTAACAGAGGGTCGATGGCTTGGTGATTGAATGTACTCGCTTGTCTTGAAGGGCAGTGATTCAGTTAAATTAGTCTCTTTTCTATGCGCCTGTGTCTAGACTATGGGAATCATCTATCATTTGCCAAAGGTTATGCAACCAATACATACAAAATGTCTTTACTCCATGGACCTCAAATGAGGAGAAGGACTTTGAGAGAGCGAAAGGAGAGGCTCTGTCTTATTCCTCCAACTAGTGCCTTTTGACATTTGGCACCTATCAGGCCTCAATAGAGATAAAACAGGCGGCTGGGAAAGTAAAATGGGCTTACGATGGATGTAGGCAGAGCCAAGACAACTCACGACTAACTTTGTGCCTTCTCATTACACCTTAGTGCCTCTAAATGAGCTGTCTTAAATGCTCTTGCTTTCGATTAGACAGATGACAGATTATGAAGTGAGCATGATAATCGAAAAGTTGTCAAATGCTAAAAATTGGACAACTATTTTGCATTGATTTGACTGATGGTCACAGTGAAGGCCAGTCTCTGGAGGTGTTAGCTTACCTTAAAGCATTTAAGTAGTCGATTTTCACTTGTTACTTTAAACCGGAGGATGATGGACAAAGCGCTTAACATTTTTCGCTCATTCACCAATTATGCGCCACCGTTTAAGTTAACC